ATAAATTATTATTATTATTATTATTATTATTATTATGGAGATGAAAGAAAAAATGTTTTTTAATAAATGGCTAGCTAGATTCATTATTATATATGAAATAGAATTTTTCTGGTAAAATTTGAATAACGTATTCGTACCTAAAATGCTGTTTTGTGGCATCCATTTCCGAATTTTCACATTACGAGGTAGCTCTGGAACTTCGTCTTTTTCCCATTTTAATAAAACATTCTGTGGAATTCGAGCAAATGCCCGTAGAATGGATTTAAGAATGTCTGATGGTAGTGCAGATATTTTCATATGAGACCCTAGTGAGAAATACACAACTCCTTCTTGAGACTTGTCCAAAAACTCTTTTAAATCCTACAATAGACAGTATTTAAATATTATCGATTATAAAGTACTAAACGAACCTGCGGTAATGGTTTCGGTTCTTGGACGTGGACACCACCAATGGATATGATATTTGGTACGTAAGGCCTTGGTGATTCAAAAGTAGGATGGCTATTGGAAAAAATGAGATCGACATTACTCTTCAATTCATCAATACTTGGAGCATTTGGAAAGTAACTGTTGAGAATGCGTTGATGCTGAATTTTGTTATAGAACAGAAACGCTTCCAAAAACAGTGCACCCAGTGTGTTACCTATCCTATCAAAGTAATTCATTTCTTCTGTAAATGAGAATCCACTAACAGGTACATATGAGTATGGCTCGGGGTTATTGGTCAAATAATTAACCTCTGCCTGAGCTCCGAAGGAACAGGTAAATATAATTGGTGCTTGGAAGATATTCCCGTAGAACAGTTCTGCGTCTTTCATGAACCAGTCCATAATGATTAAGTCGTACTTTTCTCCAGACTGTATCAGTTTGTGCATGGCTGGATGTCCGAATGTTCTGTTAGTGAAGTGCCAAATCAGTTTAAATGCTCCTAAGAAGTTCGAGAAGATGTTACTTCCCATTTCTAGGTAAATCTTCTCATCGCCTATGAATAATGAAATATTTTTCATTAATATTATTCGAGAGAAATATTAACTATTAACTATTAATCTATATACATATACTGCAAATATTATTGCAAACATTTTTGGAAAATGTTTTCTTCTCATTATAAGAACAAATATGAAGCCAGACGTTCATCGTCTGTAAGTAAAAAGAGCGACTTATTCTGAACATATGAATCCACTACCTGCATAGACTTATAAATTTATTCATGTTTAAAATACTAAAAACCCTTCAGAGAATGAAATACCTACTAAACTGGGGGCGACGATAAAATCGCATGTCCAAAGAATTTTAAAATTTCGCGCATAACATTTGCCTCATATTGGAAGAAAAAAAAATGTATAAAGTTTTCCTAAGTATTAGAAACAACTTTTGTTAATAATATTTTGTAGTAGCTCTAAAAATAAGGCTGCTTTACCCTTGAGGCAATTTTGGTTTTTCCAATTTTGTGAACGCCCCGTATAAATTTTTAGTTTTCTGAAACTGATTTTCGAAGTTTCAGGATAAGCAAAAATTTTTGTGAAGAATGACATTTTGTCGAAAAATGTAAACTAATTGTTTTTTACAAGAGCAGTTAAGCCATTACGGGGACACACTGTATACAGGGTGCTCCAGTATCAGCGTACAAAAATTTACCAGGGAATCGACCGGACCAAAATAAAATTAAAATTCTTAAGTTACATTGTGTTGTTTAGAAAAAAATAATAACAACTTCCCGCAATAACTCAAAAACCTTTACATGCATTTTTCTACGAGCTTATGCAGTAGTACACCCAATTTACTCGAAAACGGTACAATTTTGAGCTATGAAACAAGAGCCCATTTTTTGTTCAGAATCGATTGCAGATTCAGGAAAACGTAATCAAATTACACAAAATAGGATATGCAAAAGTTATGAAGACATGACCTTAGGAGAAGTTGGCCTAGGCTGCCCCTGGCGTCAGATCGAAGTAAGAATCATGTAGTTTTAATGATCTTTAATAGATGTACACTTCACCCAAAACTTACCTAACTCCCTGAAAGGGTTTTTGAGTTATTGCGGAAAGTTGTTATTATTTTTTTAAACAACACACTGTCTTAATAAAATATAAAATAAAAATAGTGTTATACATATACGTTTTTTTTAGTTTGTCTATAATTTTAATTTATGAATCTGAGATAACTGTATTTTAAATGAATGTAGATGCACCTATATCTATTACATAAGATCTAAATTAGAGTATTCTTGCATTGTGTGTCACCCTAATATAATATTTACATAACTAATATATAAAGAGTTCAGGGACGTTTCTTAAAGGCTGCAGTTTTTAGAGAGGATGGCAATTATCCACCTATTGGTATCCCTCAATGTGACCTTTCAAATAGATTTTCATTTCGCAGTTTAGAAGAACGTAGAACGATTGCGCAATTGATATTTTTATATAAGTTATTACATACCGCAATTGACTGTCCTTCTTTATTTTCATTGTTAAATTTTCATATACCTAGATTATCATCTCGTTTTTCTTCATTGTTTTATTTACCTACGTCAAGAATTAATATTCAAAAATACTCTCCTATTTTTCAAATGTGTGATAAATATAATCTGCTTCAAAATCAGTTTGATATTTTTAATTGTAATATAGCCAAAAAAGTTACATTTACAAATTAAATTATATTTGTTTTTTCATTTATATACTGTTTTGTCTAATTGTTTAGGTATGTAATATTTGTATTGTTACTTATCTCATATGTAGTGTATGATGTAGTTTTCTGTTTGTACCTACCCTGTAATTGGAATTTCTGTAGGGTAGTGTATTGTCTAAATAAATAAATAAATAAATAAATAAGTAATATATAAATGTTGTAGATACTAGAAAGACAACAATGTTAAAATCAAATTCTAAATATTTGCTTCTCGTTATCAGTTAATATATTTTCATACATATTTACAAATAATTTCCAGTACAATATAATTATGATAATTTTATCAATTTAAGACATTAGCAGTCAAACATAAAACCTATTAGGCCGTCAGCCCGCTGCAAAAAAAAACGTATGATTTGTCCACATATGCCCTTCAAGGTATCGTTAATTATCGCCATGCTGACCAATGAACAAGTGCAATTAGCCGGTAACCGTGGAACATGCACCGGTAAAGGTAATTGTTAATTGCAAAAAAAAATCGGGTTTTACAATTATATTTACAAGCATGCCGAGCATATTAAACGGTATTTTGGCGACAACAATTAATCGGAAAACGGTCGGCATACAGGCAGAGTAGAACCGAAGGGTCGGGTGACGCCCTTAAAAGTGTAAATAAATATTGCATTTGTAAATGATAGTTACTCGTATGCCTATTCGAAATTCAATGGTTTTTGTCATAAAGTGCACAATTTCCAAAAGGTATACTGTTCCTGAAGGTCTTATTAATTGCACACCTGTATGACTGTGTATTAATTGCACAGGTATGACAATGATATTTCCACGTATGCCCTTTTAATATATCATCCATTACGATGAGATTAATTATATAAATCATCGGCATACAGTTTGTAAGGGATCTACCTGCTGGCATACGCGAAAAAAGAGTGCATATTTTTTGGTTATGTTCCAACGATAGTGCCACGTATGCCATTGTTATTTTTGTTAAATATTGACCTAATTATACATGTTTGTCAAACGGCATACGAATCGGTTGGGACAAAATTGATTTTATCTGATAAGACAACCACGCGAATTACCAAGCGCATTGCAAATAAGTGCCACGTATGCCATTGTTATTTTCGTTAAATATTGACATAATTATGCAAGTTTGGCATACGAATTGCAAACCATAGTACTAACGTATGCCATTGTTATTTACCATTAAATATTGGCGTAATTATGCAAGTTTCTCAACCGCATAAGAATCTGACGGGATTAAAATTTTCAATATACAAATTATATTCTTTCGAAGTACTTACTATACAGCGTGGTAAAAAAGTTCTGCATAAAATTCATATTTTCGTTAAACAATTTTTTTTTCGAAAAACGGTGAGACCCGTCGATTTTTATTTGATCCAGGGCACCTTGTTATGTGGAAATTTTTTTTTTCGATAATCCACTTACGGCAGCGATGACATAATTTTTTTTTAAATGACAACGCATATTTTTTTCGTTCGAAATTGATGACAGTGATAATTATCTAAACAACGGTGTGAAAATTTCGATGTCTTACATAACAATTTTTTTTAGAAAAACGCACCTTAAGTTCTTATAAGTGATAATTGTCTACTTACACTATTAATGGCTCCGAAAAGGACAAAGTTGACAAAATTACATTTCAAACGAGTAAAATTACACTAATGTTTGTGTAAGTCTAGCGAAATTGTTCGAATTGCCCACCCTGTACCATTTGGCATTGTCCTAAGCGTGTGTAAACGCCGTCTACACTTCGTTCAAGCATTCCCGGATCGATTTGATTTACGTTTACTGGCCGGTGGATCGGGCGACGCGGAACAATCGAGTGGCCTCCGCGTTCGCCTGATTTAACACCTCTAGGCTTTTTTTGTGGGGCTATTTGAAATCGCGTGTGTACACAAACAGACCAGGTGATTTGGAAGAACTTAAAAACCGTATTCGCTTTGAAATAAATCAAATGATAGGATCTAAAATGCGTAGCTATAGATATTTTAACTAAATCTCACTTATTAGGCCATGGACAACATTATATGGTAGGCCGTGACAGTGACAGGTAATGTCATGACAACATTGTTATTATTTGACAGCTTGTATTATTATTTAATTAAAATGGGTTACACAGAAGTAGAAAATTTAAATATTATTAGGAATAAAAAAACTCCATTTTAATTCCTATAATATTTCAATTTTCTACTTCTGCTTTAATTAAATAATAATACAAACTGCCAAACAATAATATTGTTGTCATTACATTACCTGTCATTGTCACGGCCTACCATACAGGGTTATCCAAAAGTCCCGGTACTGTAGAAAAACTTTCGAAGAAAGCATTTTGGGAAAAGATGTTTCAGACAAAAGTGCAAGGATTTTTACCTGGCTATCTGATGGTGACCTTGGATTTGACCTTGACTTTGACCTTTAGGGTTATTTGAAGGTCAAGTTAAGTTTTTTAAATGGAAACCCATATTTTTTTATTGCGGACCCCTATTTTTTTATTGCGGATTTGGAAAGAGTAGGAAATTTTACATCCAAATATGTCCATGATTTTGACAATGACCTTCAAAGTCAAATGTGGGTCAACTTCCAAAAGTCCCGGTATGGCAGAACTTTCGATGAATGCATTTTGGGAAAAAATGTTTCAGACATAAGTGTAAGGATTTTTCCCTGGCTATCTACTGGTGACCTTGGATTTGACCTTCAAGGTTACCGTTTGGAGCTCAGGTTAAGTTTTTTTAAATAGGAACCCCTATTTTTTATTGCGGATTTGGAAAGAGCAAGGTCATTGTCAAAGTCATGGTCAAGACCATATTTGGACGTAAAATTTCTTGCCCTTTCCAAATCCGCAATAAAAGATAGGGGTTTCCATTAAAAAAACTTGACTTGACCTTCAAATGACCTTCAAGGTCAAAGTCAAGGTCAAATCTAAGATCACCATCAGATAGCCAGGGAAAAATCCTTACATTTTTCTCTGAAACATTTTTTCCCAAAATGCTTTCTTCTAAAGTTTTTCTGCTGTACCGGGAATTTTGGATAACCTTGTATAACATTGTCCATGAGTAATTAGGCCTCTTACGGACTAACTTAAATTTAGATTTTAGAATTTTAGATTTAGTTAAACTACCGATATGCATTCCTATCAATATCCTATGTCAAAATACATAAATTACAAATACATCTGTAAATACTTACGTAATTGCGAAAAAGGCATACATGCTTGAAAGAGGTCTAACAATTACAAGATGTCTTATTTTATTAATAAAAAAACCTTCTTTTCGTTTTTTAATAGTATCTCGCTTATTGTTGGAGATGGACCCAACTTGTATATGACTATGTTCGACAGGGAGCGTTCTATCTAAATATGAAAAAATATACAGGGTGTTCCATTTAAATTAACAAAGTTCTGCGACTATTTTATTTGGACTTCACTTGATTTTCTACTATAATTTTCGAAATAATAAATCGAATAAAAAATCGTGTAACTTTTGTATTTCACATTTTTTTAGGTATAACTCTAAAAACAAAAAAGTTAAAGGGGGTCAAAATATAGTGAATAACCCTGTACGCGCATTGTGGTCCAAATAGCGAGCAGCATTTAAGGGATGAGGGAACCCATGAAGTGTATACTCCAAGTCTCAGGTATGCCGCGTCTCGGCTAGAACTCAAAAATGATGTAGTAATTTGTATGCTAAAACTCATAAATAGATATAATTCACGCAGCCATCGTATCAGACAAAATCAATTTTGTTCCAACCGATTTGTGTGCCGTTTAAAAAAACTTGCATAATTAGGTAGATATTTAACAAAAATAACAATGGCATACGTGGCACTATCGTTTGCAATGCGCTTGGTAATTCGCGTCGTTATCTTATCAGGTAGCATGATTTCGTTCCAACTGATTCGTATGCCGTTTGTCAAACTTGCATAATTATGTCAATATTCAACAAAAATAACAATGGCACACGTGACGCTATCGTTGAAACATAACCTAAAAATTTGCTATCCTTAAAACAGTTTTTTTAGAATGGGTTCCACGATAACCGTATGCCCTTTAGGAAATCAAAAGTTCATTATAAAACAGTAATTTTGCAATCTTAATTTAATTTGACATTATCATTGTCATACCTGTGCAATTAATACACAGTCATACAGGTGTGAAATTAATTAAACCTTCGGGAACCGTATGCTCTTTGGAAATTGGGCATTTTATGCCAATAACCGTGGAATTTCGAATAGGCATACGTATAACTATCATTGACAAATGCAATATTTATTTACATTTTTAAGGGCGTCACACGACCCTTCTGTTCCACTGTACCCATATGCCGACCGTTTTGCGATTAATTGTTGTTGTTAAACTCCCGTTTTTTATTCCCGGCATGTTTGTAAATATAATTGTAAAACGTGATTTTTTTGCAATTAACAATTACCTTTACCGGTGCATGTTCCATGGTTACCGGCTAATTCCACTTGTTGATTGGTCAGCATGCCGATAAATTAACGATACCTTGAAGGGCATATGTGGAGAAATCATACGGTTTTTTGCAGCGGGCTGACGGCCTATATGCAGTGTTTAATACACCACTCTTGTCCAAAACAGTTCCAGTAATTATATCTGTACAATAATACAAATATTATTTTGAGGAAACTTACATTGTTAAAATTACAGTTATTTACTACGAAGCAAAATAACAACACTCAAAACGATGAAAAGAACTGTAACGACGGTTGCCCAGTTGTTGTCAGCATTGTCAGTTAGTAGATCAGACCAATGTCTATAAAACTGAACGAAATATTTTGTTAATTCAAGGTATTACTGTTTTTGACTAGATGACTATTTTTTATTGATTTAAACGTGTTTTTTTTAACCAATGTCAAGTTAAACGCAAATCTTGAGGTTGCAAATATGTTTAATTTAATATATGTATATTTATTTGCAATAATAATTTTAATTTGTCATATTAAACATTATGTCTATTATGAATACGGTTAAAATATGTATTCTGTGATGAACATTACTTATGTCGATTTGAATAAATATTATGTTAGCATGCAAGAGAAATATTTTGTTAAATTAATATCAAGAGAATAGCATATGAGTGTTGAATAAACTGTATATTTTTTTAAATTAATTAAATCGATTCTCGACTGAAAAAAAAAATATATTTTTTTTTTTCAGTGTAAAAAAGCTGATATTTAAAATATCTAGAGTGTATCGGAATAACATACCACCAATCTGAGAGGTATTACAATTATATGCATGCCGTTTTTTGTTTTTAATATAGATACAGGGCGTTCAAGAAAATAAAAAAAAGCAGAAAACAGTAATCATTCTGAACATATGTATGTTGTAGCCAAGACTTTTTCGTTTCTTATTAAATAACACAAAAAAAGTCTTCTATAGTCACGTTCTATATTAATTGAATAATAAAGTTTATGAATAACAAAAACAAATCTGAGGGGAATAAATACCTAGCGGACATACTTTTAATATTTGCGCTTTTCTTCGAAAATATAGCGATTTAGTGAATTTTGGCAAATATATGTTTTTTGTGTGGAATCAAAAAGTACATAAGAAAATCATATTAAGGATCCTAAAACCCCAACCTTAAAAAAAGTTGTGATTTAAAATATTTATAACAAACCTTTATAATTTATTTTGAAACTAAACAAACTGAGCTATTCCTTCAAAAATGTCTGTCCAAAAATTTAATAAAAAAAACAAATTGATGTATCGATTTTGAAAATAGTGACAAATCTAATTAAAAGAAAATAAAACACCTGTATCCTAAAAACAAAAGACAGGATTCATAGGAAAATACAGTTCTTATTTTTTTGATGTTCTATTACCGCTGGGATTTATGTTACGTTATTCTGAAACATCCTGTATAGCAAAAAATTAAATTATGTTGAAATGTATCTCAATGAATTAGAAATTGGCAAAATATTATTATAAATAATATTCAAGTTATTATTGAACACAACGGAAGCCATGCATTAATAAATTTAGGGTTTAGGAAAATTCCCCACATTAAAAATATGATCTATAGCCTGTTTGGAAATGAAAGAGAGTAATAAAACCCCGAGATAAGAACCGGCCATGGGCGTGGTAAATATTTCGTTTCAGGTAATTATCGGGTAACACTAATGCTAACAAAAATGACAGGGATTGGAAAATCGACTATCTACAGACTTTTAAATACTGTAACTCCCCCAAAATCATCTACAAGGAGGTCAAAAGTCGTTATAGATGATTTCTTCAAAAATGTCATTCGCAGAAAAGTACTCTCATTTTATTTTAAAAAAGAAATACCAACGCTAAACAAAATTTTAAGTGCACTTTCAGAGGACAACGACTAATTGTCATGGATAATGCCAGTTACAATTCACGGCAGACCGAGCGGACGCCTACGACTGCTTGGAGGAAAGCCGATATAATTCAATGGTTATCCGGAAAAAACATTTCTTTTGAAACAGATATGGTGAAAAAGGAACTTTTGACATTTGTCAATCTTAATAAAGATCAGAAAAAATATGTTATCGATAAAATGGCAACAAATCGCCAAATAACGGTACTACGATTACCACCTTATCACTGTGAACTTAACCCAATCGAATTAGTCTGGGCGCAGGTAAAAGGAGATGTAGCGCGAAATAGTACAACGTTTAAATTAAGTGACGTGAAAATTTTGTTAAAAAATTCCTTGGAACGAGTAACTGCAGATAACTGGCAAAGATGTATACATCATGTACAAAAAGAAGAGGAGAAAATGTGGGAACTCGATAATTTAATTGACGTTACTGTGGAACCTATCGTTATCAATCTAGGAGACGAAGATAATTCATCAGAATATTCAGAGGATGAATTTTAATATACCTACCTTTTTATTTTCTTTATTGTACATTTATACAACACTACATTTACTCACCATAATTTGAATTTTCAAAATACATATATTTTTGTGTGGAATAAAAGTCTATTCATTAAATTTAAATAAATATTTTGATAATAATATTGAATAATTTTATTTGAATTACTAAAATCCCTCTTAACCCGGTTATGATGCTTAAAGTAGCCTCATGTTTTGAAATGCTGTTTTTATATTGTTTACTTATAAGAGAAATGGACCGAGAAATTGAAGGGGCATAGACAAAGACGGATTGTCGGGGATTAAATTTTAGCTACCTGCTACAATTTAGTACAACCCGGTCACACAAAGTTTTTTTAAAAGTACACCTCATCTATACATAATATAAAAATATTGAATATAAGCACCAGTACTACATTTATTTACGATTTGCATACATAATAAGCTTTTATTACTCTCTTTAATTTCTAAACAAACTATAGTGGGTTCTACTTACTATCGATCTCTTCTAAGAAACCATCTAAATAGATATCCTTGTAATTGGGAATCGGGTCTTTCAATGGGAATGCGCTCACCATAGTGACCTTATGACCTCGTTCCGCCAATTTCGTCAATATCACCTCTCCGAATGTCTGGTGGCTTTTGCCGGGATGCCCGTAAATTCCTAACACTCTCTTGCATTCCGTCAGCGCCACTGCCATGAGAATAATAAAAATTATTATCGAGCGCATCCTTGATGTGTACGCATATACCTAATACATAAATAACAACTTATTATGATATCTGAAGTATATAAAGTGTCTATTATCTTTTATCAAATTTAATCACTACTCATAGTTCGTGAGGTTTCATTTAATAGTCAATTATTTAATTTTACATATCATTCAAGACTAAAGTAAGGTCCAGGCGTTACAGGCCCCAAATTTAGTCACTAGTACCTTTTCCGAATAAGGTACTTACCCTATATAGTCTTCAATAAATTTTAATACATGCATTTATGAGTATAAATCCATCTACATAATATAATTTTTGTTGTATAGTGTACTGTTAAAATATAGTCAAATATTTTAATTACACCTGTATAAATGCAGAATAGAAAAGTTAATTTAACATACAGCGGATATAGCGAAACAAATTTTCCATACATTAGTTCTACAAATGAAATTTGCTAATAATTTCCTGGTAAAGTAATGGAGTGACTTCTACGACATAATTCCATTTTTATGGTTTGTGTTTTAACTATTATAGTAGCAAACTCCTTTGTCTTTGTTGATTTGTCTCAATTGCTAAGTTTTCTCTAACACAATAATCACCCCTAAAATATGTTCTCCATGGATTCTCATAAAATTTAGAATCTTTCAATTACTGTTCAAAAGATATTTACATGCAGATAACTGGGTTGTATCACTGGGTAGAACCAACTAATTAATTAACTAAGTAATTCTGCAAGTGGCTGTGATTACCACTTACTAAGTAACGATACATTGATCAACCTAATTACAAATAAAAAAGTCACATCAAATAACAACAATTTTTACTTTGATATTAATTTTTTTAATTGCAAGCCATAAGAAGGAACACTTTAAATTTAGATATTATTAGTTCACTTTTTATGGGCATTCGATTATGCAAAAATATAATTTTCACATGAATTAATCTATGCATTTGTGAAGCATATCTTGTGTATTTCTGCGCGTGATATTGTATTTTTAGTTCTCTACACCGTGACGTAAAAATTTCAGTAAAAATTTTACTGAACTTTAAATTAGAGTAACAATTAGGTAGATATTTAGTTTTCAAATCTTTTTTTCTCGGAAAAGTGAATAATTTGGTATTTCGGCAAAAAAGAGTACCTACTTACGCCACATCATACAATAATGATGAATGGTCGTAACACAGACAATATAGCTTCGCTCCAGACCGCTACTGGAATAGCACAGCAGTTTTAAATTTCCAAATTGCCGGTAGAGTACGCAATCATCGGCCCGCATTCCTACCGTATCCTAGCAACATATAAACAATAGTTTGGCACGCGTACTTACGGTTTATTTTGTATGACGTAGATATTGATAAAAATGTTTTAAAGAATCAATGAATGTAGCTTCATATGATATTCTGCAGCGGTGTCACAGTTAGGTTATTTAATCATAATTTAGTTAATACTACTGTTTTCATTTTTTGGTATTGAAATAGGTACTGCAGAAAATATATTTCAAAATAAACAAAATTCGTAATGATATTTTAAACAGCTTGTAATATAATTTTTTAATATTTGATGATGTTGATAAATTTATTTACTATACAAGGTGGGTTATTAGTACGTCGCCGAATGTAGGTACAGGTTTTTTTTTGTATTTTGACTCCCACTTATAGGCTTAATAATAATTAAAGATAGAAAAAATTTTAATTACAAATATACTACGTTTCCTTTATTTCTTTTGACATCTAAATTTGCTTAATTAAATAACATTAAAATACCTACCAAACTTTACAAATTTTCCACATGCAAGTAATTATGATGATATCGTTGAAAATATGCTTTAATTTACTATTAGATATATTTCTTTTAATAAGTACTTGTAAATTTTCAGGCCTTTAATAACACACTTTATTGAAGTGTTCCCACAAAAATATGTCTAAGGGACTGAGATCGGGGCTGTTTTCTGGCCACCTAATTAATATTTTTTTTTATGTTCATTGACGAAATTCATCCTTCAAAATAAATTTGCTAAGACGTCACAACGCATGAGACAAAAAAACAGTTTTTGCTTGTACCTCGGGAATTATCGAATTATCAAAAAATCTCCCACGGTCCTAATTGGTGATAGAGTGAAAAACGTCCGAAGTCCGTATTCGGGACCAGGGTGTGTGAGATTATACTCGTGCGTTAAATCGAAAAAATAATTGAAAAAATCTCCCCACACTCCTAGTTCTGATTGTTCTTTTTCCGTTGAATGCAAAATGTCCGAAGTCCGTATGTGGAAAGTAAATTTCGGAAACAAGAGGTGTGTGAGGTGATACAGTAAAAAAGGTCCTATAACTCGGAACCGGTGCGTTGAATCGAAAAAATAATTAAAACAATCTCCCCATAACCCTGGTTCTGATTCTCCATTCTGCGTTGAATGGAAAAGGTCCGAAAAACAAGAAAGTTAGTCAAACATTGCAACGGTAGTAGCGTACGCATTATCTGTTGTTTTTTTTTTAAATAAATCTCGTATTCAACCACCCCTAGAGGTTCCAACAATTATGTTAAGTAAAAAATTAAGGTATTATTCTGAACGAAATTTTACATTTTTTAATTTTTTTGAAATAAATAATTAATTAGGTAAATTCATAGTTTTAATTCTAACTTGATTTATTTTATTTAGCATTTAACACAAATGTAATTTCCAAACAAAAGATAAGTTCCATATAAATCTCCAATCACATAATTAAAGGCATTAAATTTATTTGGAACTTATTATTTAGCAACAAAGCCACCGCTAGAGCTGCCCCCTATTACTGAGTAGAAGAGTTACCACGCTAAATTTTATTGCTGGATGCCGGCTAACAAGACCCTGCATCCTTTTTAGCTTGTTAATATCCAGTATTTAGCGCGCGGTCTGTAGCGATAAGCTATATTGTCTGTGAATGTAATTTGAAAAATTTTTAAATTCAACAATCTAATTCTATCTAATCTTTTTATAAAATTCTCAACTTTTAATCAACAACTTTAAAATGAAAAGAGATCAATCAAATTTTTCCTCATTGTCATACATAATATAATTGCGAGACTCATAATTATTTTGCTATAGGCACATGAAAGATTTTAGGTCAGATTAAATCGATCTAGCTCCTAATACAGAACCTTCATAAATGTTTACAAGCCACGTGTCCGCCGAGCGTAGGCAACCAACAATACACGGTTGGGAAGATCAAGTGTAAACCTCTAAACCTCAGTGGAGTGGTTGAAGGGGTTACATGTAATTAAATAAAATTGTTTTTAAAATTGATTGACATGAACTATCGATATTAAACTTATTACATACTTCCGAAACATACTTTTGTTTGAAATGAATAAATGGCAAAGCTTTATTATGAAAGCAAAATGATTATGATGTGAACCTATAACAGTTTATTATTATTTTTATTCAAATACATAGTAAAATAAATATAGACAGTTTATTTTTTATTATAGATAAAAAATAACATTACGAAAAATTATATTAATTTACAAACTATTGCTGTTCGCTGCAAATTCAAATTCATAAATTAGTATATTTCACTAGCTATCCGCAAATTTACTCTCTTGTGCATATTTTCATACATACTTTGCAGTTGCTGTTCTGTAATATTCATGACACCTCTACACAAACGCCTAGTTTTAAGGGATGTAAACCGGATTTTCTGCAGCCCAGGTTCTATAATTTTGGCTATATACATAACCTGATATGCTTTGTCAGTAAAAAACGACAAGTCCAACAAATTATTATTTATGTTTTCTATTTATCGCTCACAGTACTGTAATCGTATTCCATAGTCCATGAGAAGTATTCCTGCACATAGGTTGCCTTGTATGGGTGTAAATGCAGTTGTTTTTAAAGCTTTATGACATGCTCTAATAAAGCCTAAAAGCCTAAAATGAACATTTTAGGTTATAAACTATACTTCAATCTAATCTCAAATTGAAATAAAAATTTCAAAGTTAAAACGTTTTAGAGACAAACTAAATTTGGGAATATTTGCACGAACTTAACAAAAAAAACCCTGTTTGAGCAGACAACTTTGATACGGACATTGTAGGACTTTGATTTATTCGTTGGTGTATATTACCGATGACATTCTCTGTAAGTACAGTTGATCTGCCCGTAGATTTTCCTTTGCAAATGCAGTGTTTGGTTTCAAATCTTTTGACAATAGCATACTTCGGTTTAAGAAAGTATATCATAGTCAATTTTTGCGTTTGGAAATTCCGTCATAAATTGTACGATGCAGGATTGTAAAGAGTATGACTCGTCTTTGGCAGAAAACACAACAGACCACAGCGAGGGAAAAACTTAATAGAATTCAGAGATTGGCCTGTTTAGGTATAACGGGGGCGATGGCATCGACCCCGACAGCTGCACTAGAAGTCATGCTAAATCTGCCACCGCTGCATATAGTGGTGGAGAGAGAAGCGCGGCTAGCAGCATATCGACTCAGGAATAATAATGACTGGAGGGGTGGTTCCCACTCCAGGATCAAAGATACATCTATGTCGGAACCAATTCTTGGGATGGTATCCGACAAGATGGTTCCAAAGTTTCACTTCCACAAGCCATTTGAGACTCGAATAGAGGATCAAAGCGAGTGGGAGGAAAGGTTTAATACCCTGGAAAGGTGGAGCCTAGTATGGTTTACAGATGGCTCCAAAATGACCAGAGGGACGGGTGCAGGAATATATGGACTCAGACCCAGATGGAGTGCAAGCTACAGTCTGGGGGAGTTCCCTACTGTATTCCAAGCAGAAATCTTCGCAATAATGGCGTGTCTGGCAGAGAATGTACGTAGAGGTTATAGACGTAAACTCATATATATATTCTCTGATAGTCAAGCTGCAATTAAAGCTTTAGCCGCACACAAGGTAAGTTCAAAACTGGTGTGGGACTGTTTACAAATGCTGACTGAACTGGCCACCAACAATACAGTCAGACTGTGTTGGGTGCCAGGGCACAAAGGCATTTGTGGAAATGAGAAAGCGGATGAACTTGCGAGGAAGGGATCC